TATATATATAAAAGCCGTAGCAGAATAACTGAAGAAATTATTTTCTTCATAAAAACAGCTGCATCTTATAGTTGCAACATGCAATTAGCCAAGTGACAGCAAAAGTGCTTCCTTGTGTGTGTGTTTTTTTTCTCTCTCTGAAAATCAAATTGTGTCTATATCAAACTAGGATGGCTTTAGTGTGATGGATTTGTAAGTTGACATTTGTCACACACACATTTAAGCTCAGGTTCTGCTGTAGACTTTTTTTTTTTATTTTAAGATAATCAGTAAGATACATTGTGGTTTTGCATTATCTATTTAATATTTTTATTTAATTTTTTCGATTTTTTTTTACTTTAATAAAGCTTTAATTAAGCTTTAACAAAACAAACTTTTTTGATTTATTGTAGAACTCTTGACTTATAATATCATACATTGTGTGTTTTCTGAGAACATGACAACTTTTTAATCTTTTTTTTTCATCATATGTATATGTAGGCCTAACTAATTAATTTATCTAACATGTTAAAGCGTGTGACAAAATCAAAAACATTTGTTTTTCCAAAAGCTAGTGTTTTTCACATGTGCTTCCAATTACAGTTCATTTATGTCAGTGTTTATGTGCCAACGAAGAACACGCGGAAGGGGGCGACACTTCTCCCAAGGGCACACCACCAAGCGTTTTAAACTGAAACATACTGTATAGAAAAACACATGGGCAAGTCTTTAAGTTCCGCAGAGAAAAACAGATTACTCCACACAGCATAAACATCTCTTCACGTCCATGAGTATTGCAAACCTCCCGACGCGGTGAGTAATAATGGCATTTGTAATATACTACTGTGTATTTTAAAGATGGACATTTCAGGCGTGCTTGATACTAATTGACATAACGGAGTAGGTGGAGATCCGGATTTCTAACACTTTGCTGTTCTCTCCTTTTTTTCCTCCTGGTGTTTATTTTCAAAGACAGTTAGGTTTACTGTTAGGATACGCACACGTGACTATTACATAAATGTTGAACATCTTTAGTCCAGGAAAAAAGATATAGTTAATTGAATACACGGTGTCTCATAGCGAGGCGTGTTCACACTACACATAATATAGATGTATTTGTTTGACACATAAACTAGAATGTTTTTAAGCTGTATGTTCCATTAATGTTAGTAAAACATGAAAAAGATACCATCGACGTTTTTGGCAACAGACAGAAGTGTTATCAGTGAAGTGTAGGCTATGTGGCCTGTGGGTTTGCTGACAATATCCTGTTACCAGAAAGTGGGTAAAGTTTGGAATGAGCCATTTTTGCAGCTTATTAAATTGAAATGATCCGAGGGAGGGCTACGCCTATGACAAAGTCTTAAAGTTATTATATGTTTTCATAACATACAACAAATGTTTAAAATAATGGAAACAAATAAAGGGCACTTTTGAAACAAGCATAGCATATAACCAATGTTAGCGAAAACAAGTTCTTAGTTTAAAAATTGTATAGGCTATTTAAATAGGCTCTGAAATATTGTGTGACAAATAGCCTGGGTCTCCCTTTTCAGCCATTTCTTGCATTTAAAATCAACTTCTTAGTAATTCAACTAGTCAGTAACTAACTGAAATTTTCCGATTGTCATACATATTTATATGAAATATCTCTTGATTCCTTAATTTCTTTATAGTTCATATTGAAATCTGATGTGAGTAGGGTTAGTATATAAATTCAAGGTATTTTTAACAGTTTTGCCACTGGTTACTGTGCATGCCAGAGATGCTTCCAATTATTTCAGATTTTTTTTTGTCATTTTTTTTATCAGCATCATAGGATGTTAATATATAAAGAAGCAAGCATCAGAGGTGCATGGATACGGTGGTTCATATGCACCCTTCTCTCACTTCTTCATGGAGTAATAGCCGAAACCAGTACAACACTGGATATAATGACAAAATATCCACTAATTGATGGGTATGACTTATGTATCACTTTCATTCATTCACACATCATTCATTTGTATTTTTAATCTGTGCTTTAAACATAACATGGTTTATACTAGGCCTATATAGCCTACTGTGACCAGGGGCGGACTTGGGGGTTTGGGGGGCACTGAGCAAATTCCCGGTATGGGGCCACCAACACATTATTTTCTTCTACTTTTGTAACCCTTATTCTCCTGTCTCTCTCTCATAGTTGATTTATTTTATTTAAATTTTTTTTTTTTTACCCCATTCACAACTTGTCTGTGGGGTAGTAGCCTATAGCTAAATTGAGTAAATATTTAGTCAACCTGATGTTGTTCTAAAGCCGTATTTGGATCACAGATCACACACACACACAAAGAAAAAAAACATGCTTGCACTTGTCCATTTAAGAGCAGTGAATTGTGACTTTCGGATTCAATCATGTCATAAAATAATCCCATGCAACTCGTCCCATATTCCAAGTGTTCTGAAGGCATATGGTAGGGTTTGGCGAGAAACAAACCGAAAATGTAATCTAGCTATTATTAAAGGGTTAGTTCACCCAAAAAAATTCTGTCATTAATTACTCACCCTCGTGTTGTTCGAAACCCATAAGACCTTCGTTCATCTTCGGAACACAATTTAAAATATTTTTGAGGAAATATGAGGGCTGTCTGACCCTCCCATAGACAGCGAGGTAACTACCACATTCAAGGTCCAGAAAAGTACCAAGATGATCGACAAAGTAGTCCGTGTGACATCAGTGGTTCAACTGTAAGCTACGAGCATACTTTTTTGCGCAAAGAAAACAAAAATAACGACTTTATTCCACATTTTCATCTCTACTGCATCACTTGTGGACGTATCATGACGCGAGTGTGTGGCAGTGCCGGCGCTGACCCAGATCCGGCGTAATGACGGCATCACGCTGTATCTGGGTCAGCGCCGGACTAATAGCACACTTGAATAAACTTCTTTTTCGTAAGGGATGTCATGTCCCACATAGGATGTCTGTAAATTTAAGTGGCAGTCATACCAGAAATGAGCAGGAGGGGGCATCACTGTCACTCAGTTCGGGCTAAGCTGCTGTGGCAAATACAAACAGAGCTCCACAGTCACCTCTTCCATTTTCATGGTACACTGAAAAATATCCACTTTTTATAGTTATTCTTCATATTGCCCTAATGGTTCTGTGGTCACATCTGAAGACTCAAAAGTGAATCCTTCAAAATGTCAGTATAGGCACATCTGCTTTTTAACAGAGTTTGATATTGCTCTAAAGTAGAATGTTAGACATTCCCTCTGAAGCTAGTCTTTAATCATACTTTAGGATCATTTTGTTTTAGGTACCTATTTGGATTCACTTTGCCATATAGAGTAAAACCATTTTTTTTACAGGTTCCCAGATTTCTAACTGGCTACCTGGCGTTTCAGTTGAATTTGTGCACTCTTCTAATATGATTATTCTACTGCAGGCAGATGTCTCGCAGGTAATAAAGTTAGAAACTACACTGCATGAATTGTTTTCTGTTGAAATAGTTACCATATTATGCCATACAATAATTACCAAAAAAAATATTTTGTTAATTCCCTTTGGCCACAGGTGTATTGCACAGATAATTAGAAAATTCACATTTTTATCTGATTGCCATTATCCATTTACTGGTTTTCAGGTACATGTTTCATCAGGTAGACCTACCAGAGTACACTGAAAAAAATGATACTTTGGACCAACCTAAAAAAATTACTGTAATTTGTTACAGCTAAATTTATTAGTTTTTCTCAAACTATATTTTTGATTTGGTTGAAACTTTAAATTTTAATTTAATATCAATCAAAATAGTTCTTCTACCCAAGATAAAAAATTACATTGAAACAAAGTTAAAATATTCGAAACCCATAAGACCTTCGTTCATCTTCGGAACACAATTTAAAATATTTTTGAGGAAATATGAGGGCTGTCTGACCCTCCCATAGACAGCGAGGTAACTACCACATTCAAGGTCCAGAAAAGTACCAAGATGATCGACAAAGTAGTCCGTGTGACATCAGTGGTTCAACTGTAAGCTACGAGCATACTTTTTTGCGCAAAGAAAACAAAAATAACGACTTTATTCCACATTTTCATCTCTACAATTAAGAAGAATGTGCCACTGACTGCATTTCTCAGTGCCTCTCTTGGCAGCTCACTGAGACCTGAGCTAGTAAAAAAAGAATGAAACAGTCAGTTCAAGTTGTTTGATGGCAAATACATTTGAAGGAAGTCTGTGGAAGTACAAGACTTGTATCTTGTGACACAAATGCAAAAAGTGTGTATTAACACTATAAGGCATGCCTTTCCCTTTGAATTTCTTGATGGCACTGTTAATGACAAGTGTAAGTAAAAATGCATTGTTTATTATATTTCTTTATAGTTCACCCATAAATTTTGTCATTAAAGTGTTAGTTCACCCAAAAATGAAATTTCTGTCATTAATTACTCACCCTCGTGTTGTTCGAAACCCATAAGACCTTCGTTCATCTTCGGAACACAATTTAAAATATTTTTGAGGAAATATGAGGGCTGTCTGACCCTCCCATAGACAGCGAGGTAACTACCACATTCAAGGTCCAGAAAAGTACCAAGATGATCGACAAAGTAGTCCGTGTGACATCAGTGGTTCAACTGTAAGCTACGAGCATACTTTTTTGCGCAAAGAAAACAAAAATAACGACTTTATTCCACATTTTCATCTCTACTGCATCACTTGTGGACGTATCATGACGCGAGTGTGTGGCAGTGCCGGCGCTGACCCAGATCCGGCGTAATGACGGCATCACGCTGTATCTGGGTCAGCGCCGGCGCCGCCACAGAATTTTCATTTTTGGGTGAACTAACCCTTTAAGCAAAAATCTTCGGTCGTTGCGATCTACATTCATGCGAAGGAGCAGTTCGCGCCAGCGCGCCAAGGAAAGCACACAAGCAAATCATTTTGAGAAATCAAGAAGAATAAACTCATGACAAGAAACACGAGGTGTATAAACCTCAAAAGCATGTGTTTTCTTTCTTTTCTGAGGTGAATATCTGCGAGTCAGACAGTTGTCAAGTGAACGAATAATGTAGGCCAACTAACTCATGAATAATGTAGGCCTATTCTTTTCGTGGTAATAATTACAATTATTTAATTTACAACCAATTCAATAATTTAAAACTCAGCATTTAATCATTTTGTTATTTATAATTAATTCTTTGGCATTTACAGGCAGGCCCGATTCCAGAATCAAAACACTGTTCTGAAATTAGTGATGGTGCTCTATAGGGATGTAACGATTAACCGCGAGCCGGTTGAAAATCGTTTCAAATATGTGACGATTCAAATTGGTTGAGATGCCAAACAAATCGCGATTCAATTAGGGGTAGGAGTTTATATGAATGTATGTCTGAGGGGAACTTACTGTCTTTAGAAAAGTTTAGATGGTATTTTTTCTTTTCATCTTGCCTCTGTATAAAGCATATTAAAGTTCATAAGTGCAAAAAAAAATCGTGAATCAAATCGAATCGTGAAATCAAAACCGTGATTCGAATCGAATCGAATCGTGAGTTGAGTGAATCGTTACATCCCTAGTGCTCTAGCCTTCATGCACATAGAACGAGGTTCTGTTATAATCAATAAAGCTCTACAATGCACAATTTACATCGTAGGCTGTCTACACTTTGAGAGGATTCGCGCGAGCGCACAGAACTCGACACTGAACAAAAATTCTGGTGTTTTAAGTGATGAGTGGATTGATTGTAACACCTTTGATTGGCCATTGTGTTCAATTAAGAAACTGGATATGTCTGTGATTGGCTGCATTGCTAAACGCTGCAAAAAACATTGTAAAAACGTTGTAAATAGAAACCTATTTACATAAATACGGACTGTAGCACTTGGCAAAAGTTGCAACAGTATCAGATGATTCTCCGGGGCCCTAGGCGGTTGCTTACTTCGCTTATTGGTTTAGTCCGTCCCTGTGTATAGCTGAGAATACTGGACAGCAAATGGCTTCAGAGAAGGTTGTAGTTGCACCACTTGCAATAAAAATGGTGTGATGTCTTTTGATTTCAGACTACTTCTCTTTCTCTTTACTCAGACACAATGACCTGGCACTACGTCTGAGGATGCACTTTAAAAACAAATTGAGCAATTTCAGTATACACAACAATTCTAATGTGGCTACAGATATTAGACGCCTCACTGCTGGTCATGTTGGAGGACAGGTAATTTCTATTGGCTGATCTTAATTATAATCTGTATCTTTAACTATCCTGTACCGCCTTTTGCTATTAAGTATCATTTGTGATATATATTTGTGTATACTGTAGGCTATATTGTGTAGCTCAAGTGCTGGGCCTGACGAACAAGGTTGTTCTGCCCCAAATTCACTCACAGCTTCTAATATTTTGCAGTTCAGTGAGCAATATATGATCTTTAACCATTATCTTAACTCCACTCTCCTCTTCTTATAATTTCTCACTAAGAAATCAGTCACCGAAATCACTGAATTTCACTGAAACTGTTAATTTCTCCCAAAAATTGTCATTCTTAGACATTTTGGACCCACAAGTGAGTGGCCAGTTTGCTGTTTTGGTTATTTTGTGCATGATTAGATATAAATAAGTCCTTGATATTTGTCAGGTTTTTGCAGCGTACGTGTTGTGCACGGCTCAGGACAAAGATGCTGTCAGACTGACCTTGGAACAGATTGATGTAATTCGTCGTATGTGTACTGAAAACCCAGAGATGGAACTGGTCACCACAGCTGAAGGTACTATTGCACCCCAACCTCCACCTGACCTAAAGAAATTTCACTTTGCTGTGATTGAACATTTTGAAGATTTCAACTTTATGCTGAACAGTTTAGAGAATTAAAAGAATAGCCTATTATAGAGAAAATTTTGCTGTAATATTGACGTTTATAGGTTATGTCAACTCAAAATCTTTCTCAAAACAAACTGCGTTTGAGTTGAGTGAGTTCTGCTGCAGGTAGAAAACTATAATATTTATACAGTTTTGTCTTCCAATGACTGATTACTTTTAGTCCTGACATGTCTTCATTTTATTTCTCCATCTTTTAGAGCATAATCAATGAAAAAATGAAAACCCTGTCATCTTTCATACATCTTCAAGCAGTTTGTTGCTTAGAGGGAAAGAAATTCTGTCATCATTTATCATGACTTTATTCCTTA